CTGTCTAGACCCCGCTCCCATTCTGGAGCCAGGGACAGAACCCAGGAGTCCTGGGTCCTCCAGCACCCATTACCAGCCCTCAGGCCCCTCCCATAGAGGGGATAGAGAACCCAGGAGTCCGGGGTCCTCCAGAGCCAATTACCAGCCCTCAGGACCCTCCCATAGAGGGGATAGAGAACCCAGGAGTCCTGACCTCCAGCCCTCCCCTGCTCTACCCCCTGGATCCCATTCCCTTCCCTCCACTGCCTCATAGGTTGAATGAGGCCCATGAGCTGGTCCTGCCTGGTTCTCCCTTCGCTGGAGCAGCCCAAGGGGCTGGTGCAGGAGGTGCAGTGACGGGCCCCCCACGAGGCTGCTCCCTACCCACCAGCGGATGGGGGCTCAGCCATTGTCACGGGCTGTTCACCTCACATGAGCCACCCAGCCCCAGCTATGCACAGGGGCCAGGCCAGGGCCCTCTTTGTCAGGGCAGGGGGGGCAGAAGAACCAGGGTCCTGCACAGAAGTGGGGAGCAATGGCTGGGTTGGGCCAGGGCTCTGGTCCCAAGCGTGTCCCAAATGTTTCCTTGCCCTGCTGCTGGGAATCCTACGCTGCCCACAAAGGTGCCACCCTGGTGCCAGCACTCAGCACTGGACAGGCAGCTGCATCTCAGCGCTGGGCAAGGGGCCCCCGTATAAACAGCCCCCGCGCCCCACCCCAGAGGTGGCTGCATCTCAGCGCTGCGTAACAAGCCATTCTTTTGCCTAATCTTAATAAATCCTCCTTGTCGTCGAGCTGACTGCTAAACGTTCCCCCCGGCTGACTCTCCAGATGGGGGGTTGAGAGGGTGCCGGGAAGTGACCGCACAAGCAGCGCCTGCCTGACCCCAGCGCTGCTCCCCACGTCACGAGGCAGGGGGCGCCGCAGTGGGAACATTCCCGGAATAAACAGGAAATGCTCGGGCCCAGGAATCTCCCACGCTCCCCGGGGCCGTGTGAGGCGCCCCCTGCTGCCTGGTGAGGGAAGTTACCCCCCACCCCCACCTGTCCCCCATGACCCTTTGGCAGCAGAGGTTTCTCCCTGTATGGTCCTGGGTTGGGGGGAGCGTGGCTGGGACACCGGTGATCTCGGCGCCGCTTCAGCCAGTGTCTTGGCGCGGCCCGGAGCCAAAGGGGGAGACTTTCCCTTCGCCTGTTTGTTTAGTTGTCTCTCTTGCCTAATTCCACTTGATCCCACCACCCACCCAGCTTCCCCAAGGGCAGTGCCCTCCCCCGCCCCCAGAGAACCCAGGAGTCCTGGCTCCCAGCCCCTCCAGTCAGACCGCCCTGTATGGCGGACACACTGCCGGCTCTCTCGCTTCTGTTGGTGCAGCCCAGATCCTATCATCCCTGTCCCCTGGCTGCTCCCCTCAGAGTTCTGCGCCCCACCCAGGAGGGCAGGGGACCCCACGCAGGCCCTGACAGCTTCCTTCAGCCCAAGCAGCCAATGGGCCATAGAGCCTGAGCGCCTCACCCGCTCCAGGGGACCTCCAGGGCTAGAAGGGGGGCGCCGGCCCTGCCATGGCTCCACCCAGACCTCCTCTGGGTTCTATTCTGAGGTCTGGGATGGGCGGGGGGGTCTAGTGGTTAGAGCAGGGGGGGGCTGGGAGCCAGGATTCCTGGGTTCTACCCTGGGAAGGGGAGGGGGAGGGTCTAGTGGTTAGAGCAGGAGGGTGGGGGCTGGGAGATAGGATGCCTGGGTTCTATTCCTGGCTCTGGGAAGGGAGTAGGGTCTAGTGGTCAGAGCAGCAGGGGCTGGGAGCCAGGATTCCTGGGTTCTACACCTAGCTCACAGAGGGGAGGTCTAGTGGTTAGAGCAAGGGGGGAAGACAGGGCTGGGAGCTAGGACACCTGGGTTCTACCCTGGCGAGGTGAGGGGACGGGGGGTCTAGTGGTTAGAGTAAGGGGGAGCTGGGGTTGGGGGCTAGGATGCCTGGGTTCTATCCCTGGCTCTGGGTGGGGAGGGGGGACTGGGAGCCAGGACAGCTTGGTTCTATTCCCACTTACCCTGCCTGTTTCCCTTCGCACTGGGGCTGGGGAGTTCGTGCAGTGCTTGGAGATCCCCGGGGGGAAAAGCCTGGAGCTGGGCCGATGGCTGGGAGCCCTGTGGTCCTTCACTCCAACCCGGCTTCCGCTCAGCCCTGCAGCTCTCACCAGCTGGCAGCCCCTCCGCTGTTCGCACGGCCCTGGTGACATGGGGCCGGCAGAGAGTCGCCTGCATGGGGCTCTGAGCAGCCCCCGGCTAGGAGCCACCTGGTCTGGCTGGACCCTTGTCCTCACATGAACTCGTGACCCCGGGCAGGGGGCGAGCAGCTGAGGGGGGATCCTGGGCGGAGCTGAACACAGCGCAGCCCCATGGCTAGCCAAGCCCCCCGCCCCGTGCTGGGGGAGGGTCCGGCGCAGTTCTGGTCAGCCCGTGCAGGCGGGGGCAGCGGAGAAGGACCCTGCGATGGGGGTGAGGGATGGGATGGGAGCAGCCCCAGGGAGGCCGGTCCGACCCAGGGCGAGACTTGGGCCAGGAGGCGGCCCACAAGGGGGGGGGTGAGGGGGAGTCAGGGCTTGGCGTGGGGGAGAGTGGTCAGTTTGGGGCAGGGGCTTAAGAGGAAGAACCCACCAGGGACCCTCCTTTTCCTTTTGTCGCCCTGGGGCCCCAGATCAGGGAAGCACCGGGGGGTTCGTTGCAGCTCACCGGGGGAAGAGCCCCCAGCCATAGCCCATGGGCCTCCCCCCATTCTCCTTCCCGAGTCATAGGGAACCCCCCCGCAGTGCCCCCCAATCCTCCCCAGCCACCGGGGGGCAGTCAGGAGACACAGACCCCGCTGCGCCTGCGGGGAGACACTGCGGGTCCCGGGTCCCTCCCATCCCTGCACACCAGGGAAGGGCCCCGATGCCTCCCGCACTACCCCGGGCCCTCACCCAGCACCCAGGGCCGGTGCAAGGAAGTTTCACCTTGCGCC